CTATTTATCAATTTTTGTAGTTTTAAGAAAGCAGGCGTGACAAATTTTATACTTCATAGTGGGACCGCGTATACGTTTTAAAAATTGTTATGAGTATTGCCGGGTTGATTATGCCAAGTTATGTTCTGATATAGTGGTTTGCAATCGCCTTAAAATGACATTCACCATGATAAAATGGGTTGGCTGTTAAAAATTCTCTGTGGGTTTCCTAAAGCCTGAGTGTATTCTGGGGGAGACAACTAGAAACAGAAATCTGTGGGTAACATAAGTTGTTTGTGTGGTATGAAGTTGAATTTTCGTAACAAATTGCTTTAGTAGGTTAAGTAACAACCCATTTTTAAGTGTTCATTGCTATATTTCTGAATGGTCCTCTTGAAGTTCATGTGAATGCTTTTGGCTTCATATGGACATTCGAATGTTAGTTTCGTCTTACTATATTAGTACTGCTGAGTTAATTTTGACTAAAGTCCTGACTCGCAGTGGACCCGAAGTTTTTGTTCCCCCAACTAGAGCATTGGTTTTACAAGGCACAATATTAAATCTGAGGGAATTCAGCATAAGAACTCGTAACCTGTCCTCTCCCTCTTAGTTACTCAAGAAGTCTGTGGCCTAATTTTGGGCCTTCCCATTTCGTCACTAAACAAAAGTCTAAGACTTGAGATAATGAATCATACATCCTTATCCGATGGTCGTGGAATCCAAGGGCTTTTATGGGGAGAAACCCGAGGCTATAGGTGGCCCACCCAGTTCCTGTGTCACTCCCAAGCCAGAGTTGGCGGCAACACAGTGAGTGAAGCAGTTCTAAAACAAAGATGAAGATAAGGTCCTACCACGTTACATCCAACACCGTGTGTATGTGCGGGAGAGATCTTTATCCCATAGGCACGAATCACAGAGAGGATAATGGAGAGAGGTCTCTCCGTTGGAGGGGTACATGATACATGATACATGATAGAAAAAAGGAGGAATCATCAAACAATCCAGCAGAACTTATCTCTAATGCTGAAATCCTCAGAGTGACTCACGAAGATGTAGACACGACATAGAAACCGGAAAAGCTGACCACAACGAACACGATTCAGGTCAAAATGCAGAATACAAAAACTTAGTCAATGTGAATAGTTATGTTGGTTCGATCAGAAGTTATGTGCTAAATCATCCAAGTGTAGCCAACCATTCCCTGGCTAAACAAACTCAATAGACGATAGGAAACGAATAACCCTACCAGATATCGAGGTGACGGAAGTCGGGTTTCTGTGTGAGAGACCGAAATTCCAGCTTTTATAGGTGCACCTTCTCTATAACAAAACCAAACTAATTCGAAATTTGTTCCCAGTTACACTTCAAGCCGTAAATTAAACTAAAATCGCGATTCCCCTGGTTGTTCACTGTAGCTGGTTTACAAGTGACTTGAGTCGTTCAAGAGAAACATGAATTTTTAGTTGACCGCAAAAACTTTTTTTACTCAAAAGACACGGGACATATAATCTTTTTAAATTTAGTACAAACTCCACCCGTAATAACTGAGAAATTCTACAATGTGCTCTCGGAATTTCCGACCTTGACCATATCTAACCCACAACTTAAATGTAAGCTTATGGCTAGTTATAGCATCAAAACTGAAGGTGTAACTGTGTCCACTAAGCCTAGGAGGCTAGCGCGTGATAAAATTAGAACAACTGAAGCCGGACTACCCTAGATGCTACAGCTGAGTAATATTGGTTTCTCTAATAATCATTGAATTACAGAGCAGCCAATCATTATATCATACCAGATAGGTAACGTATATCTCATATCCAAGGTTTTACAAATGGTAGATGCTTCGGATAAAATAGCGAGTGGTATATTTGATCAACCAGTTAAAAACCCCTATCCATTAATCATTTCTGACGCTAGTTGGAAACCAGGATAATAGTATTTTTGCCCATAGATCATGCAGATCGCAGACCACTGATTGATGCAGTGAAAGCTAAAGCCGATAAGTATTCATCTAGAGAAATCCTACACCGTGACTTTATATCACGTTTCACCAGTGACCAACGACATGATAAAAGGTGGGTGAAACCAGGCGGTAGATCCAATATCCGATATCTTTTTCAAGAGCTAGTATAAACCAACTAATTTCCTTGCGCTCGATTCTTATTCGTTCGGTACGGTTCCAGGTGTTTGATAGATGCGTTATTTCTGTTAGGAATAAACTTTCGAGTACGAGCTTTGGGGCTTTAGCGGGCGAACGGACAAGGGACTAAGAATTACTAAATCTACTTTCAGCAAGGATCTCCGGTTTGATAATGAAGCTACTTTCATCAGTTACTGAGGATATGGTATAAACATATAGCTAATGAATTAATGTTTGTTCTGATAGGCCAAACTACGTTTCCTTGTGTGGGGTACAAAGCGTTTTTGAGGGATTTTTATTAAAATTATTTCAAAATATAGGTGCTGTGCCTGTGTAAACGGTTCCAATGTGAGAAGGAAAACAAAATATACTGGAATTAAAAATTATACAAATGGTATCATCTGTGCTATATAGTCAAAGTGTTCTCTCGCACAAAATAGCATACTAAACAACAAAAGGACCTGTTAATATATAAATGATAGGTGCCTGAGAATCAGAAGCAGTTTCCTCAAACGGATAGGTCGAAACATCTACCCTAAAAGTATTCGAACAGCCTTTTTAATTCGAAGGTTAACGTGAATGTTACACTAGTTTTCATATATTAAGTAAATTAACTAATTACCCCTAAACAATCTAATGAAAATATAAAGCTGAAGCAGAACAATAGAATAAGAGAGCGAGTAGCGAAAAATCTTCGACTGAGGTGAGTAATGTATTCAGGCTCCGCCCATGAGATTAACTATTTCTACTGGATTTTTCGGTTGACAGAAGATATTATTCATAAAATTTGACGGAAACGTTAAAGCTGGCTATTATACAACCGAGTATTATAACTCCTGAAATAGTTGCGAATCCTAGAAATAATCCATATGAGTTTCGTTATTTCATTTGCTGATCCGCGTTGCGACAAACGACAGCTGGTTAGGAATGGATGCAAAGCTAGGGCCACACCTAAGAGGAAATAACAAGGTAAGTGAGTATTGATCTTTTTATGGCATTCGCCAATATAATATTTTGACAGGCTCCTGAGTAAAGCAAGTGTAATTCTCCGGTACATTTGGTAGCGTTTGTAACAATTTGATCTAGCCTGTAAAATGACGTGCCCCTTGTAACCCACCGTTATTTGGGAATAAATATATCATTACAAAGCGTGTCAACTACATTAATATGACAGTTATGGGATCCGACCCTACTGGCTATGTTTATAGACTTCGAGTAGCTGAATCAAACGAAAAATATTTGGTTTCTTTTTTTTTAAATGATTTCAACTAGGATAACATGGGATCACGTACCCCAAATGAAGGGAGTCTTAGAAGACGATATTGTGAAACACCGTTATATGTCTTACTAAAGTTAAAGGAAAGAATTTTCACTGACTGACCAGGTAATTTGATCGAAAAATTTTAAATCATTGGGGGGCAATCGCGTTTGGTCATAAACCTGTGTGGATAAAAACTAAACAGCATTTCCAAAATCTAAAGTGATAAAAGGAGTTCTTGAAAGATATATCTGACTGTTCGGTACAGTGCTGATTTCGCTTAAATGAGCTTTTAATCGTCAATAATGTAGCGTGCATCTGTGTTAATAGGCGACATTTTCCATACGGATGGATGGTCTATACACATAGTGAACACTTCAAGGTAGAATATTAGAAATTTCGTGCTGCCATGTTTCATAACGAATGCAAGAATACCATCAGATCCACCATCATAAGACTTTTTTAGAACTGTTAAAGCCTAATTGTCATCGATGAATGTTGAATTTATTGTTATAAGATGATTAGATTTGAATATTGAAAATGTATTGATGGTTGTTTATGTTTAGGCGTTGTAGCATTGAAAAGACTGGTGGTTGAATTGTTTGTGAATGATATCAGTGGTGTCTCTGATGTTAACGCTTATTATGAAGAACGTCGCTGTGTTAAGACCGTTTAATTTCATACTGGTTTTGGACAGCAGAAGTGCCGACTAGCCTAGGGTTTTGCTATCTGACGCTTTATTCTGTATAGACAAGTGATCCGTTTCTGTTAGTTAAGTGATGTGTGTTCTGAAGCGTGAAGAATTCCTTATGTTTGTAGTACCGTCACTTCAGTTTAGTCAGATACACTAGCTTTTTATAAGGGCTAATATTTTTCAAACAAAATTGTAAATAATGTTTCTGATTCTGGAACGTATAAAACAATAGTATGCGCGAGTTATTTCAGTTGTATTGCGACAAGACAATGCTGGTTGATAATCAATGTAAGTCAAATCCATGTTCGTTGAGACTCCCCAGATAATAATTTCACAGGTTCCAGGG